GGGGGGAGGGGGGTGGGGGAGCATTCCACAACGATGGTATTGCATGGTATTCCACGCCACGCCACGCAACAACGCCCAGGTCCCGACTACATACTACTGCTCGCCTCCGCTCAGCGCCCTTCCCGTCACAACCCTCTCCTCTAGCTCCTCTCTCTCTCTGAGCACATACACACTCACACACAAGCACAAACAATGTTGGGTGTGAATAAACCTCTCCCACCTCACACCAGACGAAGCTAGCCACTCCCACTCCCCTCCACTTTAATCTCTTTCTGTCATAGACCGAAAAACAATTGATTCAAGCGCTAAAGTTCATAGAGTGAGAGTGACGCGGAAATACAAATAAAAGGCCGTCAATGATATAGAGCGTCTCAACGGGGTAGGGCAGCCGCCAGCAACATTGTTCTCCGCGGTGCGGAAGAAACAGAGAGCAGCAGCAGCTTCAATCATTCGCAGCCTCCACGCCGGTCCAGGCCCCACCAGGCCCAGCCGCACAGCCGCAGAGGATCATGATTGCTCTCCATGCGCGATGCAGATTTCTCGCGCCGCACACTGCGAGTTCGCGACAGCCTGTCCCGTCCTTACGGTCATTATTATTTTCCCATCTCTATTCCTGTGTCTATGCGTGTGTCTGTGTGCCTGTGTGTCTGTCTGTGTGTCTGTCCGACCCGCGCACGCGCCCCTCCTTCCTCTGCCTACGCTCCTACTCGCCGGCTTTCGTCTCCTCTCGTCATCCAGCCGGCCGAGCAGCGCGGTCGTTACTACTTAGGCCCGTACGCTGGAGGAGGGGGAGGGGCTGCATCAGAGGAGGAGAGGAGGAGGCTGGGATCGGGTTGCGCGGCAAGTTTAAATCAGCCGGCGCGCCGAGAGTGAAATGCAGTCACTTTCCGCGGTGCGGTGCGTGGCGTGGCGTAGCGAGGAGCAAGGCGCAGCGGGGCATGGCGTGGCGTGGCGGGGCGTGGCGGGGCGTGGCGGGGCGTGGCGGGGAGGACCCCGCGAGTGCGAAAGCAGATCGACCCCCCCGCCCCCCTCTCCGACCCGCCTCGCGCTGCAGCAGATCAGTGCACCGAGCGGGGCCGGCGCGGGCCGCGCGCTGCCCACGGCTGCCAACTGCACCGCGCGACTTTCTCTCCCTCCGTGT